GCTGCAGCTGCGCTTGGCCCACTGACCCACTTAGCCGCGCTTCCGCGTGTGCGACACTTTGTCACGATAACGTAAAACCAAGATACACGTCGGCGCGCTCCCAGCTTCCATTTTCATCGTTTACTGCGCGAGCCGAAGCGAGGAGGCGCATCGCGGTTTCGGTTGAAAATGCACAACTCCACATTGCAATTACGTAAATGGCCGCGGCGAGACCCGACAGTACCGCGAGGCCCTTGGACAAACGTAGATTCGTTTGCGCGATTACGGAAGAGGCTCATGTACGAGGCTGTAACGAGCCTTCCGAGAGAATTTTGTTTTTTTTTTTTTTAAATAAAGAAGAGATAATCTAATCAAATATGTAGACAGCGTGAGCGTCCCAGATGCGCCGCGTACGTTTATCATTTGGACACTATTCGACCTAATTTCCGTATTGACTTTTTTTCTGAGAAAAGTGTCACGCCGAACTAGGAGTCGGGACCTAAACGCAATATTATTTTTTCACTGTAGCTCGAATGAATGTTTTCGTAAAATAATACATCTATGTCGAATTCATGAAAATATATTTTTTTCTCTCTAGAGTTATAGTTCGTGTATAAAAATATGGCGTAACATTGTTTTCAAAACCAATACATTAAATTGTGAATCACTATAACATTATAATAATAAGCGTATCATACACAGAAAAGAATGAATTCCTGATTCACGTATATTTTTAAATGAGGTACTTTAAAACAATGTTTCTCTGCTCACGATGATTCCTCGCCTTGTAAGTGATAATGCAGAAGAGTAATGCAGTTTAAATTCACGAAAACAGCTGCTTTGGCGACAGAAGTCTGCTGATGAGCCATTTGGGTAATTATTCTAGCGAAAGGAACATCTCGTTTTCAGTGGAATACAAGATCAAATGGTCGTAAAACAGTCCGTACTTTAATCGTATCGAAAGTGTTGCTTCAATCGTTAATTTAGCTTCGCTGAAAATGATCTGTTTCCTCTCACAAAATAGAGAGTTTCTAACAAGACTGCGATAAGAGACAAATTCACATAAATATATTAATGGGATAAATAAACTTGGGATGACGAATCGCGCTTCGCAATAATTGTTAATAAATTGCAAGTTTAAATGCACATCTATGCGAGCTCCAATTTTAATCCGGCGTTATTCGGTTTAACTCCTCCGATTAACAATTCATTTACGGATCGGCTCCACGAGATTACGAGGCAAGGGAGAGTCCCTTATACACGATATAATTTTCAGTGACGCAAGCACAGCTTCGGCGTGGAAACTGGGTCGGGTAGGAATCTCGAAAAAGACTCGCGTGCTTTTTGTAACCATCGAAGAAGACAGGTTGTCATTTTTCATCGATTTCAACGAACGCTTTGCTGATTCTCGTCATTAAGATCGACCTGCACATGCCCACCAAAAGAAATAAACGAGATAAAAACTGTTATCTTTTTGAGTATTATCTCCGCGACTGAAAACTTTTTGCACCCAAATGCAAATAGGTCAGAAGTGTAAATGGACGATTCTAGGGCAACAATTTTACTCGAAATTAATGAAACGGTTTAAGGACTCTATAGAATTTTTAATATAACAAAAACAAAAATATATAAGACAGAGTAAAAAGAGAAAGGGTAAATAGAATAAAAGAACATAGCGATGGAAATTTTTGGAAAAATTAACACTATATCGTTATTTAAAAATGCAAACTTAAATTTATCTTATCATAAAGTATATATATATAATATATATATATATACTTTATGAGATCCTTGCATATTTATTAATATCAATCATTTTTAACGTAATTCCATATTTTTTAAACACCATTGTAAGAATTTTACAATAAACAGGCTAATCGCAAATTGTCTGGCGGTAGCAATCTTAAAGAAATAAATCATCGTGGAAGGCAGCGAGGGTAAGTTATTTATTAGACATTTGCGACATCGCGGTTCAATGCCTGATAAGGCTAAAAGACGGGATACTTTTCCGTCAATAATTTCAATTGAAAGGACAATTGACGCGCTGCGTGAGCATGTAGCGAGATGAGCCCAAAGCTTAAAGTCATCGGACTATGTAAACAATTTGTCTCTGGCGCCGAATCAATGTGTAAACGGTTCATTGGAAAAATGAACAGTGTGAAACAGGCGTAAAACTCTCCACGACGGACAGTGTGACACAGAAACGGAGTTATTATTTGACACCAGTCGATAAGCGAAGTCATCCAACTTTTTATCTACGGTTTGGATATATGTATATATTTTTATACGAAGAGAGAGAGAAAGGGAAAGAGAGAGAGAGAGAGAGAGAGAGAGAGAGAGAGAGAGAAAAGAGATTTCAATTCCCTCCACGAACGTCGATGAATGAAGTTTTCATGATAAAATCCTTCAATAAATTCACGAAGCCGACTTTTATTTAACATGATGGATGATCGTTATTTATCGCAACTTCCCAATTTGCGATATTTTAGTAATTCAATTTGTTAAGAAAATTGATTGATGAACTGATGAATGAGAAAGGAAATAGCAATCAAATTTCTATTGGAGATAAATAATTCTTACGGACAAATCATCATTTCTGAGATCACAATCGTTACGCAGCTTCTCGACAATAACCGTTCGTCGTCATCGCGTTCTTGAAAACTCGCGATCCGACCATGACAATCCACGTAGGTGGACGTTATTAAGTATAATGTCGCGCTTGAATATGCCACTCCTTTTCGAGAGAAGTCTATCGGATTTAATTATTCGAATCACTGGACGAGGAAATTCACTATTTCTTCGCGCGAAAAAATGCAACTGCAAAAATTCTTTCAACAACGAAATACATGCCTGAGCGACACGGACATCGCAATGTCAATTTCAAGAGAATGAATGGATATTTCGTAGAGTATAAGAGTAGGTATAATTAGAGGACGGAAGACTCGCGCGAATAAGACTCTTGATTTCACACGCGCGACGACTGTAATTCTACCGTGAATCCCACATAAATCCTTACGATCTACTTCCCCGCGTAAAAGCTTGACGACGCGAGCACTCTCCGCTACTTTGAGAATTCCTCTTACATTCGAGAATCGGACGAGGACACGGCATCGGAAGGTTTCCGTTCCACGAATGGCGTATGATAATTAGACCTTGCCGCCGCTAACAACGTGCTAGGCTGAACGACGATTAGGATTTACTTGTGTAAGTCTCGAAACTCGGCGCTGACACGGTATATCTCTCTGATCTCGAGTCATGAAACATCGATTTTCAGGAAAATAACTGACAGCTGATGGCGCCTACAAATGGAACTCAGTGTTTCTCGAGAAACTCTCCGTTGAATGCGTTTGCATTAGATATGAAGTATTACGCCGACGGTATATAACCGATCCATATTGAACTATAAATTATAGTCCGTTTCCGGATGCAACTACATATATATATATATATATTTCTCTCTTTAATAATAATTAT